GTAGAACTAGAGGATCTCCAAGGTCCCTTCCAATTCTGTTATTCTATTTCTCTTATTTCCTGGCCCTTCTTTTGGATCTCAGATGATATATGTGGCTTTATTTGTTTTATCAAAACCATGATATCTTAGCCCAGGTCTGCAAACTTCCAAATCAAAGTTAGTTTATTTATTTATTTATTGAATTTATATTACCACCTATTCGCCCATGGCGACTAGTTTGCTGTCCGGTTCTGATTCTCCATCCCCACCACCCCGTCTCCTTCAAACTGTTCAACTGTTGAACTTTTCAAAGAGCTTTTGAAGGGAAATGTACTTTTGTGTTGGCTCCAAGTCCCTTTTGGACTTTTCAAAGCCTGTGATCACAGAGTGAGTCTCCCAGCGGTGCTGTCTTGCAAAGGTTGCTCTAGAGCACATTTGTATCCCTACCATCAATTTTCTGTAATCTCTTTGGATCGGTTTTTTTCCCCTTTTCTTTTTGCTCCCCTGCTTCCATTCTCCTCCACAGATGTTCAGTACAAGGGCCATCCAATAATTGATTTTGCAAAAGGGAGTTACTTGTGTTTCACTCTTTTGGAACCAAGACATTCAATAGGGTTAAATCATCTTCGTAGGAGAACATAAATATGTCAATTGAACTTCAAAATGTTGGGTTGGGTGGGCTGTTATGTTCATAGCGTGACTAATTACTGATACACACACACACACACACACACACACACGGACACTTTATTTATTTTTTTAAAGTGGTATTGATTAATTTAAATCTTTAGGCAGGCTTCCAAGCACTCAATATGGATGCTTTTAAAATATTGACATACAATATTACAAAATATTACTCCAAAAATCCTCAATAGAACAAAATTCTTTTGTTGTTCCTTATTGCAGCACCTTCTAAAGTTGCCTGTTATTACCCAAGTAAAAGGAGGAACGCCAATAAGAAAAATTCCAAACCACACAATATAGGTATCTTCAACTTACAATCACAATCGAGGCCAATTTTTTTTTTTGTTGTTGTTGTTGTTGTTGCTAATGTGAGACAGTTGGTAAGTGATTTCTGCCCCATTTTATGCCCTTTCCTGCCACACTTGTGAAGTGAATCACTGCAGTAATCAGTGGTAATCAGCCGGTAGCGGCGATGAGCGGCGGAAACTGAACTGATTCTGACACTCTGTGTTGGGCCCACCTGCCCACCCGGGCTCCCTGATGAAGCAACCAGGAGAGTGCAGGCTTGCAGGAGATGAGTTGGAATGCCTCTGCGCCTGTGCCAAGTGCGTGTTTGGCGTGCGTGAGCATGCAAAGTATGTGCACGCGTGCAAAGCGCACCCACCAAGCCACGCCCACCGAACTGGTGGTAAACCTTTTTGATTCCCACCACTGCTGCAGTTGTTAAGTTAGTAATCTGGTTTCCCCATTGTCTTTTGCTTGTCAGAAGGTCACAAAAGAAGATCGCATGACCCCAGGACACTGGTACCCGTCATAAATATGAACCGGTTGCCAAGCATCCAAAATTTGATCACATGTTGCATTGGTCGCAAGGGTGAAAAATGATTGTAAGTCACTTTTCCACAGGGCTGTGGTAACTTTGAACAGCCACCCAGAGGTGGTATTCAGCAGGTTCTGACCAGTTCTGGAGAATCGGTAGTGGAAATTTTGAGTAGTTTGGAGAACCGGCAAATACCACCTCTGACTGGCCCTGTCCCCATCTATTCTCTGCTTCCCGAGTCCCAGCTGATCGTCTGGGTCTTCTTTTGTTGCCCTGTACAGGAGAATGGAGCTGGAAAGCAGGTTAGTGGGGTGGGGAGGGAGGATTTTGCAGTAATCTTCCCCCTGGAGTGGGGAGGGAATTGTTTTTTTTAAGTATTCTTCCTCTGCCACGATCACTAAGCCACACCCACCAAGCCACGCCCACAGAACTGGTAGTAAACATATTTGAATCCCAGCACTGCAGCCACCTAAAGAATGATGGCGGATCAAGAACTACCCGTATTAGACTTGGCATCTCAGCTTCACTCTCTGGTATTGTAATGGTTTTAGGCCTCTTTGGAATGACTTATCCATGACTTTCTCTAGCAAGGATGTATCCTCAAAGTATCACAAGGCGATGTGGTCACGCACCACCTTTGGAAGTCTTTGCCTAACCCAGGAGTCTGCAACCTTAAGCACTCAAAGAGCCATTTGGACCCGTTTCCAACAGAAAAGAAAAGGCCGGGAGTCAATAATTTAACAAACAGTGTGACTGAGTGGGCATGGCCAACTCTACATCACTCACTCCCACCCAGGCACCTCCTGCTCTGGAATATGGAGCGAGTTTCCATCCCCTGCCATCACCCTTACCTTCTCAGGCCAGGCATGGAGTGACAGGGAGGGGCAAGCCAGGGTTGGGATCAGCCAACCGGGAGCCACAGAGGGCCGAAAGAGCTGCATGTGGCTCCAGAGCCACAGGTTGCAGACCCCTGGCCTAACCCTATTCGTCAATTATTTTAAACCGACCAGTTTTAATTAACTTAAATTGATTTAAAAAAAAAAAAAAATTCAGTAGGCAACTGGCTTTCTGCTATGTTTTCCCTCATTTTTCATGTTCATCTATGCCATCTCTCTTATTTGCCTTGAGAGTCCCCCTGGACAGAAAGTTTCAACAACGTACCAATACAAAGGATAGCCAGGGGGTCCTTGGTGCTCTCTGAGCTGGGTTGTTTTCTTGTAGACATTTCATTACCCAAACTGGGCTACACAAATTCTCTTTTATTTGGCACAAAGAATATTTTTCTGGGGTCCAGATAGGGAAAAGAGATCTGGTTCTAATATGAAAGCAGAACTGGGTGCCAATCAGGTGCCAGAAATGGAAATGTTCAAATGGGAGAAAAGAGAGAGAGAGAGAGAGAACATGCACATGTCCCCATGCTTCAATTTCTCAAGGAAGAAAGTTCAAAGCCAGAACGGCAGAACAACATTGCCAAAGGAGACTATCAGGATGCTGAGTTGCATCTCTCCAGGGCCTTGCAGGAACAACAGAGGACATTAGCATCATAAAGCAAGCTGTTAAATTAGCATAACAAACCCCTAATAATTAATTACTGCTAGCAGCAGTTCGGCTTTCTATAGGAGAGACAGAGACTAAATTTCAGGGGCTCCCTTTGACTAGAAATAGACTGCCAGCTCAGGATCAAGTGATCCAGCTTCTCTGATCCAGGGAAAAATACCCTCACATGGTTTTGGGGTTGGATCCTTGCAATTTTGTTGTCTTGATTGCATAAATGTTGTACTCTTGATGAATGTATCTTTTCTTTTATGTACACTGAGAGCATTTGCACCAAGACAAATTCCTTGTGTGTCCAATCACACTTGGCCAATAAAGAATTCTATTCTACTCTACCCTACTCTACCCTACTCTACTCTACTCTACTCAACAGCCAAGGTTTACAGAATGTCCAATGTCCTGACTAGGTTTCTTAAGCTTAAATCTGTTCTCCTCTGGAGGTTCTTGCAATTCGTTGAAGCTGAAAACGTTGCTGGCTTTTCCCTCAGTTGTTGAATGTATTGATTGATGGTGAAACTTTTAACAGAATAACTTTCACAGAATAACAATAACTTTGGCAAAGCCGGTCCCGCTTGGAAGGGAAACGCAGACTAGACTGAACACACACGTTATTCTGCTTCTAAAGTGTAGGGAGCTGGAAACGGGCTTTTGAAACGTGCGGATTATTACTTTTGGGCTTTATGAATCCTTTTGCATCAGTAGCCGCCTGTTCTGTCTCTGAGAACATTGTAACAAAACAATAAAGCAAGAATATAAAATAACAACAGCAAACAACTGGACACAGCCAACAGGCTCTTGCTGTCTTCGCAGACTGCAAGGACGCCGAAGTTCCTCTTAAGAACAGGCCACGAAACGCGGCTAGCGGGCTACGTTTTGGAAGGCTGGCTTGCCCCGTGTTAAATCGATCGTGCTTAGAAGCCCTTCGCGGGCTCCCAAAAGCTCCGGCCGAGCGCAGCATTGCGGTCCCGGGAAGTTCCGCTCTCGGTGAACCGAAGAGCCTCTTCGGGGAAAAAGGCAACAGCTTCCCCTCTTCCTTAACGGCAGAGGGTCCTCGTTTCCCGCGGGGTTCCCACTCCCGTTTCTTTCCCTATCACGGCGGGGAGAGCCCTCCGTCCCTTGGGCGAGGGGGGGGCTTCCCCTCTACCGGCCAGGGCCGAGCGGGGTCCCGCATTCACCCACGGCGCGGGACAGGCCAGCATCCCAGCGCACCGCCTGCTCTCTCGCTTGGACCCCACAGCGCAGCCTTAGGGGCCAGCCTGGACACCCCCACCCCCAACTAGCCCGAGGGGATCCCAGCCCAGCGCTCCCGGACGGAGGAGGGCAAAGGAGAACGCCAGCCAGCGTGACCCAGCGATCCCCCCCCCGCCACCTCCCGCAGCCTGGCAGCGCCGGGCTCTCCCCGCGGAAGGTGGGAGGCGGCGCTGCTGCTGCTGCGGCTGCCTCCGAACGGCCTGCCTACCCTCTTCTCCCCGCGGAGGGCGGCCCGGCAGCCGGAGAAGGCGGACTGCTGGCCCGAAGGGAGGAGCCGCTGCCCAGCCCTGGGGGGGGGGGGAGCGGGGGGGGGGGGCGGCCCGCCTGGCAAGAGGGGGCGCTCTTGGCCCCTCCTGCTGCCAGCCAGCCAGCCAGCCTCCCTCCCCTCCTCCTCCTCCTCCTCTCTTCCCCAGTGCAGGGCAGGGCGGGGCGCCGGGCGGGCCTCCTCCTCCTCCTGGGTGGGGGCGCTGAAATAGAGGCGGGCGGGCACGCGCCGGGGTCCGCCAGGAGGGAGGGAGGTCCCGGCCAGGTAGAGGAGCCCGATGCACGGCGGCGGCGGAGGCAGCAGCAGCAAAAGCAGCAGCCAGAGCAGCCGCAGCAGCAGCAGCAGCTTCAGCGGGCGGAGGCGGAGGGCGTGAGCCGCGCAAGGGCGGGCCAGGCGCCTTCTTCTTCCCGCAGAACTGCCCTTGCCCCCATGGCTACCCGGGTGTTGAGCATGAGCGCTCGCCTAGGGCCCGAGGAGCCCGTCTTCGCGCAGCTCAAGCCGGTGTTGGGCGGCCGGGAAGGCTCGATTTTCGCTCCGCCGGCTCCAGAAGAGCTCAAGCCGCCGCCGGCTCCTCCACAGCCGCCGAGCGGGGCCCGGATGCCCGGAGAGGAGATGGTGCAGGTGAGGAGGCGGCCGCCCGTTAGAGACCGCCGGCGGCTCTGGGACAGAGTTCCTCGGGGCATGGGCAAAGGGCGGGTGGCGGCCCCGGCCGCTGGGCTGCTTGGGTGTGGTCCCGGTCTCGGCCGAGCTCGGGCTGGGGCTGGGGCTGGGTGGGGCAGGCGGGAGAGCGAGCGGAAAGGAAAATGAAGGGAAGGAAAGAGGAAAGGAAAGAGAAGGGCAAGGAAGGGAAGGAAAGGAAGGAGGAGAAAAATAGAAAGAAGGAAGGGAAAGAAAGAGGAAAGGAAAAGGAAGGGAAGGAAAGAGGGAAGGAAAGGAAAGAGAAAAAGAAAAAGAAAGAAAGAGGGAAGAGAAAAGAAGGGAAGGAAAGAAAGAGGAAAGGAAAGAGAACGAAAAGGGAAAGGAAGGGAAGGGAAGAGGGAAGGAAAGGAAAGAGAAAAAGAAAGAGGGAAGGGAAAGGAAGGGAAGGAAAGAAAGAGGAAAGGAAAGAGAAGGAAAAGGAAGGAAGGAAGGGAAAGAAAGAGGAAAGGGAAAGGAAGAGAAGGAAAGAGGGAAGGAAAGAGAAAAAGAAAGAAAGAGGGAAGGGAAAGGAAGGGAAGGAAAGAAAGAGGAAAGGAAAAGTGGGGTGTCCTCGGAGTGCCCGGTCTTCCGCGTATCCAGGAGAGCAGCAGCTGCCTTCTAGGGGCTCTGCGGGGACCCCACCCGGTTGGGCAGCCGTTGTGCCGGGTTCTCTTCCCGTGGATGGCCGGACGGGGCTTTCCGTCTGTTGTCCGTCCGTTCCCCCCACCTCCCCCCAGCCCTCCTCTCCGTTCCAGCCGCTTTCGGATCTTGCGGGCAACTCGCCAGCGCGGCCGGGCTCCGCGGCTCCTCTTTCCGCACGTGGCCGGGCGCACGGGGAGCTGCCTGGCGGGCGGGCGGACGGGCGGGCCCGGGTTTCCCCTCGGCTCGGCTCGGGCCGAGTGCCGGGCGCTGGCTTTCCCGGCGCGCTGCCCCTCCCTGCGGCGGGCGCGGACGGAGCGAGCGAGCGAGCAGCTGCCACCTTGTGTGCCCGGCCTGGCCGAGCGAAGCGGAGGCGGAGCGGCCCCGCGCGCCCACGCAAAAAAGTCATTTTAGACCAGGCCGAGGAGGAGGGGGGGAGAAGTGGGGGCGAGCCCGGGCAGCTGCCCTTTGGAAGCGGATCCCCGGGCCAACAGCTGGCGCGGGCTAAAGTGGGGAAAAGCCGCAACCCGCCAAGGGACGCTGCTGTCGGGCCAACGCCGCTTCCACGCGAAGAGTTTTTTCCCCTCTGTTTTCTGGAGTTGGGCGACGGGACTCTATATGGCTGTGGATGAGCGGATGGAAAAGGCGGTGGGTGCTTGCAGAGGGGTGGCCCGCGCTGGGAAGCGAGCGCGGGGGTGGGGGGAGTTGCTTTTATTGGACATCCTCTACCCCTATAAGAGGGAGAATGGTGCTCAGGGTGGGCCGCAGGCTTTCTTCTTTGCTTCCCCCCCACCCCAAAAAAAATCCCCCAGCAATTTTGCTGGTGCTAAGCAAGAGACCATGGGTGGTCTCAGTTCGGACAAACGGGCGAGCAAGCAAGCAAATGGGGGGCAGTGGGCTGGCTTGGGGGGAGCCGCGAGGAAGCCCCTTTCTCAGCCCTGACCCGGCTGTAGTAGGGGTCCGGAAGGGGAGATTGAGAGATTCCTTCCCGAGGTAGAACCCCGGCGTGGGGGGTTCGTCCCATCCCTGTTGGCTCTTGCGGGGGTCGCGTCTCTGTCCGCGGAATCGCTGGATCCACGCAGCGCCTTTTCTCTTGGGTCGTCGAAGTGGGAGGGGGGGGGTGTCTTTGAACTTTCCCAGGGCAACGGGGGTGGGTGGGTGGGGGATGATCAGCGGTGGGTGGCAGCGTCTGTGCCCCCTCAAAACGAAGGGAAAGTAGGGGGCCGCAGTGAAACTCGCCCTCTCTGAAAACCCTGGTCAGGTCAGGCTTCAGGATCTCTATATGCGTGCCTTGTCTGGTAGTTGATCCCAAGACCCCGCAGGTCTGGGAGGGAAGTGGGGGCGGCCTTCCCGTCCATCCTGGTAGGTGGGAAACTCTCGAAGGGAGGGAGCCCTGCCCCGGCACCCGTTGGGCCAGCTTGGGGAAAAGCGAAAGCCTCCGGATGACGTTGGCTTTAGGCATCGCCTTTCGTTCTGTCAAACCGAAATGTTTTTTTGTGAGACTCGCAATTCACTTGTTTCGCAAAAATTTCATGCCTGGCTCTTTGCATTCATTCTCCCTGTGAGAAAAGTGTTGTCTTCTCTACGGGACCCCCGCCCATAAAAAAAAATGACACAAAAGTTGTCCTACCAGTTCCTATTTGATTTTATTTCTTCTTTCCTGCTCAGATATAAGATTGTCTGTCTGTTTACCATATCTGCCTATCTACCTATCTATCATCTACCTGCTTTTGAGGAGGGGGACAACCTGAAGGGCTTAAGATGCCAAAGAGGCCAAGCCAGCAGGGTGCCTGCATTCTTGGAAGCCTTGATTTAAATAAAAAAATTTAAAAAAAAAATCCTCCAGATGAAATGTAGAAAATAGCACACGGTACGCTTTTTTTTTTTTTTTAGAGTTAAACGCTTTGCCACCCAGTTGTATCACTTGCTATATTTAGCCTTCCAAGGTAACATAGCCAATCGTTCAATTTTCACTTTTGATTCTTGTACCGAACAGCTTTAATTAGGTATTCTTATCGTGCGCTCTGCCTCTTCTTGAAGGTGTCATCTAGGTGAACCGTGCGCCTCTCGATGTGAGATCCTTCTATCTCTGCTTGCTTTTCTTAAAAACAACTAAATAAAAACTTTCCATTTGGACTAGATGATGGATCTGCATTTTTTTTTGGGGGGGGGGGGAGAGAGAGAGAGAACATTCTTGCAAACTTAATTCAAGACCTGAGCAATTCCTGAAAGTGAATCCTGCTGGTGAATTTTAATGGTAATTCTGTTCCTGCTCAGGTTGCTATGTTCTCAAGGTAAAAGGCATCTAATTCAGGAATAGACTGGAGTTTCTTTAACTAGCTTCTGGGTGAATTTCCCCATTCTTTGTACTTCTGGATTACGAGAGCGGCTTTTCCAGAATGTGGTGTAATTTGTAAGAAATCTCATCCTGGGCTCGAATTTTGTAATGGGTTGGGAGATTCATAATGGTTGCAGTCTGTAAGCTTATGTCTTCTCTCTTTTTCCTCCCCCCTCTTTTTGGCTGATTTTGTTCTCATCCAGACCCCATGCGAGATGGATAAATATTTGACCCAGCAGCTGCCTCCCTTGCCCCCGCTCCCCGAGCACAAAAAGTACCGGCGGGACAGTGCCTCGGTAGTGGATCAGTTCTTCACCAATGGTGACGGGGTGCCTTACAGCGTCAACATGAACCTCTACCTGCCTGATCTGTCTCAGCTGAGGACGGGCCTCTTCAAAGCCCCCAGAGGTCCCGCAACCCACATCAAGACGGAGCCGGTCGGTGCCTTCAACCACCAGAGTGAGGCCGCTCCTGTAGTCCCCAGCTCTGCCCAGGCTCTCCCTGAGTTTACAAGCATCTTCAGCCCCCACCAGGCGCCGGATGTGAACAGCCTCTTCATCAAGCAGGAGATGTCTGCGTCAGATCTGGGCCTCTCTGTGCCTGGGCCCCAGCAGGGCCAGCTGTACCAGCTCCTCAGCTCCCCCGATTTAGACCTGCCGAATGCCGCGGGCCTGGACTCCCTTAGCAACGTCTCCCTGTCTTCCTCCATGACGGGCCTCAACACCGTCTCTCCCGTCATGTCCCAGACCTCCATGAAACAGTTCCATGGGGTGCCTCCCTGCACGTACACCATGCCCGGCCAGTTTCTGCAGCAGCCAGCCACCTACTTCCCCCCTTCACCCCCAAGCTCGGAACCTGGCAGCCCTGACCGGCAGGTGGAAATGATGCAGAATTTAACCCCGCCGCCATCTTACGCTGCCACCATCGCTTCCAAGTTGGCCATCCACAACCCGACCTTGAACGCGAGCATCCCCATGAATTCGCCGAGCATCCCAACCGTCAGATATAATCGGAGGAGTAACCCCGACTTGGAGAAGAGGCGGATTCATTACTGTGACTACCCTGGTAAGCTTGAGGGAAGTGGAGAGGTGGAGGTCTCCGAGAAACAGGCCAGTTCGTCGATAGCGTCTTTCCAGAAAACCCTCCCAAATGTTTCCTTTTGTGCAATGTGCCAGCCAATCTGCTCGAATGGAGCATGTTTGCTTCTTGTTTCGAAAGAAGAAAACATTTAATAAAATAAACGCACCTTAAGCATATGCAAGGTTTGAACATAAACGTAAGCCAATGTCATATGACAGCATTTCCACATCTCAGACCTGAACATTCCTGTGAGTTTGTTGGCTCAGAATGATGGGAAATGTAGTTCCATCTCTAGGATAGGGAAGACCAGCAGTCGTAGCTACTTGAAGAAAAGTGTGTGCAGCTTTTTCTTCATGATTTGGCTGCGTTTCTGCTCCTTGACGTGCATTTTACGCAATTTAACTAGAACTAGAAGATTCAACTAGGTTGAAATAAAGGGTGTGTGTCTTCCCAAATAGATAACAGATTCTATTATGTGTTAATAACTGATTTTTGCTGTTGAACACATAGCTTATAAGAGGATAAAATGTGAGATGCATAATTATAAGATTCTTGATCGATTAATTCAGCTTGCATGTTTAGGATGGTAAGTATATTGACCTGAAAATTTAGGTGCGGTTGATTGTGATTTCCGTGTATTGCTAGCAGTTCTCTTTTTGCTCTGGGCAAAAGCGAGAAATTGGAATAAATTTCTTAAATATATTAGGGCCACCCATTAAAACTACTAGCAGCATTGCAGTTTTATGGGGAGCGTTACCATTTTCCAGACATAAACACACTTGATACTTAATGTCTCTTTTCTGATTTTCTATCTTAGGTTGCACTAAAGTGTACACGAAATCATCCCACTTAAAAGCACACCTGCGAACTCACACTGGTATGTGATTTTATTTTTATTTTTTATTTTGCTGGTTATGATTTTTTCTATAAATATAAGTTAGCCATCCTGTTTTTTTTCTCTCTGCTTTGCTTGAAAAGGTTTAACATGATGTGCTTGAAATGGAGAGTTATAAATCAGTCACACGGGGTTATTAAAATGAAGAAGGACACTTTTAAGCTTTGGAAAATAAAGGATGAATTTGAACAGTATATAAATACCCTCTTTGAAGCTCTATTACTTTCCATTCACCCTGCCCCCCCCAAACCCCCCGAGTCCTTTCCAGCTAAATTATGCTGTCACTTAATGCGTGGATCAAATCTCTGTGCATCAAACTTTGGTTTAACTCCCATGAAAACCATGACTGCGACACATGCTTAGGGTTATGCTGCAAATCTCAAAGCCCCTTACTCATTTCATAAAAATATATTTTAAAAAAAGTTGATTTCCTGCCCAGCAGCCTGCCTACTGCCTTCTGCTCGGCGATGAAGGCCCACATCACATTAAATAAATGATAAACATTCATTTAAGTTCCGTTCCACGATAAACTTGACTTTTCTTTTCTCAAGTTGACCGACTATGTTTAGCCTGTGATAAACTTGATAAGTCTGTTGTGAGATTGCATGGATTGTTGGAACAGGTATCGTTGGCTGGCTCCAAACACAATTTGGAAGCTTAGCTTTCTCACGAGGGACATTTGCTTTGGTGGAGGTGGAAGAAATAAGTTGAAGCCACGCTGCGTGGCCACTTGATTCTGCACACCTAGGTTTTTCAGGGACTATTGAATCTGGTCCCTAGGATAAGACACTTTTTTCAAACTAGACTGCCGTTAGGTGGTGTTTTGACGGCCGTTCCTTTGCATGGGAAAACAAACCCGATCCGGTCTCTGAAATATAAAGTCAGATCAACCAGGAGAAGAGGCTCTGTCAGATAATGACTCAGCACAGATTCCTAAAATCATCTAAAAAGGCTTTAAAAAATGTTTGAGTGACAACCCCGAAACTTAACTTTGTTTCGGCGGCGAAGCAATGTTCGAGTTGTCGGAACGGCTCGGTTGCGGCAGTTTATAATAATGCTGGTTTTGCAGCTGAAATGGCTCCCTTCTTCACCCTCCTTGTTAAGAGCTGGATCTGGGTTTTCAGTGGGGGAAAAAGATCTGAGTTTGGCTTCATCCATGAAACAAGGGCCCATATTCAGCGTTCGCTCATTGTGGAATGATTGAAATATCTCCAGGCAAAGAGTTACTATGGAAATGAAGTTTTGATAAACGAAGCCCCCCCCCCTCCATTCTCTCTCAAAGGAACCAAAGCACAGAGAAAAGGTTAAAAGCAACAGTTGATAAAAACAAGTTTTCCAAACGGTTGGAAAAGGTTTGCCATGCCTCGATTTCATCCTGGGATGAGGAATTTTGTTTGCCTACATTTTATTTCTCTTTGCTGAGTAGTTTTCGGGGCTTGCTGTTGAAAAATTGGGATTATTCTTCCTTGGGTGAAGATTCCTGGTGGGCCTAGCCTTGTGGTGACACCCAGTGCAACATAAAGTGGTCTCATTGTTTGGCACGATCTTACTTACCTGGGCTTCACATGGCCTGCAGGGGAGGCCGGTTTGAGTTTGACAAACCATGGTTTATTTATTTGTAAAGTGTATTGGCCACCTTAGGGTAACTCATACAATCTTAGGGTTAAAAATACCTCATCTGTCACTGCTTACACTGGTGATCCCAGATCCCTGGAGGATATTGGCCAGAAGTCATTGATCGGTGTCATTCACTCTTGTCTCATATGAGTTGTCCAAGAAGGTTGTGTGTCTCTTTTCGTTATGCCCAAACAAACAACTTCCGTCATTATGTCAGGAAGACTGAGAACAAAAATGGAAGAGCCGAAAAGTACTCTGACTTCTGTTTAACCTCCCTTGTGCAAGGAGCTGCTTGCTGTACCTGGGCTGTTTTGCCTGCTGGAGGCTTCTAGAATTTGGGAAAGATTTTTCCCCTCCTTCTACAGCAATGACAGGGCTGAAACTACAGTCTTTTGTCACCTAAAGTCTAGTCCTGATCCCAGAATTACATACGGGAAGCTCGTACATCTTTCCTTTTTTGTAGATTTAGAATAACCGAGTCGGAAGGGACCTTGGAGGTCTTCTACTCCAACCCCCTTTGTGCTGGAGCCCAAACTTCTGTCTTCTGAATGTGTCCATTCAGATTGGATCCTGAAGCGATTTCTTCAAACCTTGTCGAGTAGAGTAGAGTAGAGTAGAGAGTAGAGAGTAGAGTAGAGTAGAGTAGAGTAGAGTAGAGTAGAGTAGAGTAGAGTAGAGTAGAGTAGAAGGAATGGATCTTGGGGGTCTTCTAGTCTAACCCCCTGCCTAGGCAGGAAACCCTACACCACTTCAGAGAAATGGTTATCCAACCTTTTTAAAAACTTCCCCATGTTGTAGGGAAGTTGTTCCACTGATTAATTGTTTTAACAGTCAGGAAATTTCTCCTTAGTTCTAAGTGGTTTCTCTCCTTGATGCATAGGACTGCATATCCCATCACCCCTGGCCCAGAGCCCTGTGTTTGGGGGCAGAAACCGTCTCATAATACGCGTGCTTTGAACAAGCTTTTCCACAAGCCTTTCCTTAGCTGTGGCTACTATAAATATTTGGGTGTAAAATGCAGTAATGTTTTTCTAAACTTGAAAGTCGTGTCGTGCGCTCCAGAAAACTTTCTTTTAAAAGAGTTGGCTAAAAATAAAGCAAAGAGTGCTGGGTTATTCAGGGGAATAACTGTAACTGTGGGAATGTTAGAAGTGCCTTCAATGTAGTCCTAGACTTACAACAGTTCGTTTAGTGACTATTCAAAGTTACAACGGAAAAAAGTTGCCTTGTGACCGTTTTTTTCACAGTTCCGACCTTTGTAGCATCCCCGTCATCACGTGATCCAAATTCAGATGCTTGGCCAATGATTCATATTTATGACGGTTGCTGTGTTGGGGGTGTGTGTCATGCGTTCCCCTTTTGTGGCCGCCTAACGAGCAAAATCAATGGGGAAGCCAGATTTACTTAACCACCGGGCTACGAACATATCAACTGCAGTGGTTCGCTTAACGACTGAGGCAAGGAAGGTTGTAAAATGGGACAAGACTCCCTTAACAAATGTCTCACTTAACCACAGAAATTTTGGACTCGGTTGTGAGCGCAAGTCGACTGTGTTTTACCCCAATTCGTTTTAATCGTGCATTAGTTTTAAATAACAGATGGTCCTTGAGTTGCGACCACCATAGGGATTGGAAAATTTGTCATTAAGTGGTACAGCTATCATTTGAGGCGTACCCGATTTTGCAATCTTATTTTTTTGGTGTGGATTTTTAACAAATCACTGCGGTCGTTAAGCAAGACATTGCTTTGATTGGCTGGGAAGGTTGCAAATGATGATCACCGGATGTGGCAACTAACATAAATAGATTCCAGTTGCCAAGCATCTGAATCATGATCAAGTGACCGAGAGAATTTTGCCAGGGTTGCCATTGCAAGGGCTGGTTGTAAATAACTCTTCTCCGTGCATCGTAACTTCAAAGAGTGGCTAAACAAATAGTCATAATTTGAGGATTCTCTGTAACCCAAAACAGAAATGTTCAACTCCAGGAAAAAGCTACAACTAATCTGATATTTTGGTTTTTTTAAAAAAGTTTTTTTTTATTTTAACAACAAAGACAACAAATAAAACCATCTTTCAATTTTACAGTGAATCGGTTGGATACATATATCTTGTGTGCATAATAATGTTATACGTTTCTTGTTATACCTTTATAAACCATTCTAATCAGCAATCATATTGTACAAATGGTATATTATTATTCATATTATAATTGTTATCTTTTAAAAACATATCTCATTCTTACTAAGTTGTATTCATTCTCAACCTCATTCAAGGTTAGTCAATTATAATATATTATAACTATTACCACATATTTCAATTTCTTACTTTTCTGTCTAACCATTGATAAAATAAATCCCAAATTTTATAGTAAAACTGATCTGATATTTTGTGTAAAACATTATTTACTTCAAGTCTGGCTTTTAAAAGCAAGCCATAGTCTCCGTTTCTTTTTTTCACATCTACCACAATAAGTCAAAATTTTTGATTTTGCAAAAAATTATTACGGCTCTGTAGACACTATGCCCAAATTCAACTGCATTATATATAGATGTGAGTGAATCCTGCCTCTTTGCTGTATAGTTTTTGTCTTCATGGTGTGGTTGCAGTGAAAATAATTTACATGGTCCCGCTCTCACTGACCTGGGCTTTGGATGGCAACGATAGATTATTAATAAAGGAGAATATTTGCAGCTGAGGGTTGAACTGTGGGGTGCTTGGGTACTCTCTGAGCTTGGTTGTTTCCTTGCAGACATTTCATTACCAAACTAGGTAACATCCTCAGTGTTAGTACTAGTACAGATGAGGTTATCTAGTTTGGATAATGCAACATCTGCAAAGAAACAACCAAACTCAAAATCTGTTTGCTCAAATGCGTTGCTGTTCCACAGGTCCCAACGACTGGTATTATAAACGGGAAATCATCATGCAGGAGGGGGGGAAAAAAGGATGTTTTCTAGGAGAGAATCCGAATTATTTTCAGAATAAAGCTTGGTTTAAACTGTTTCTACCAAATGCCAATTTGTCTTGCATATTTGCTTGGCTTAACTTATTTTTTTTTTTAACAGGGTTCTTCACGAACCCTGCAAATTGAAAGCTTTTATAATAAATGTAGGTCATGAAATACAGGTTATTAAAAAAAAGTTTTGTGTGATACTCTTTCCAATGTCCCAAGGGCTTTCTCAGACCAGTTTATCCGGCTCAACCTGTTCTGTAGTATCTGTGGAGGTCCATGGGTAGTTCTCGGTCTTCCGAACACAATTCCTCTTAAACCTATTGCTATCCGCCCTTCTTGGCAATCTGTCATTTGGGTTCTCTCTCTCTCTCTCTCTCTCTCTCTCTCTCTTTTAAGAAAAATAAAAATAAA